TCGTGCATCTCTGATCCGGAAAACAATGTAAAAGACTAAAAAGTGGGGTGTGATAAACTGGGTGGGAAATTTGTCTAATTTTAGTCCAAAGTGTTGTAACAATAGCACCTGATTTATGTTAAACTTATTGTACAAAAGAGCAGTCTGTGTCTTCACAATTATTGTTATGTTTTTTTTTTTTTTAAAGATTTATAACACGTTTGATTCATAGATTCAGAAATACAATTTATGATTTTAATTTTTAAAATTTAAATTTTTTATAAAAAAAAAATATTATAAAAAATTAAAAATCATAATTCAAAATGAAAGACAAACCTAAAAACAAACATCTTATTAACCAAAGCTATTTGACCACCCCATGTCATAGCTACAGCGTTTGTCCTGTTTTAAGGCAATTAGCGAGAAAGACCGTGGTTTCTTTGATAGAACAAAATAACCAAAAAAAAAAAAGGACCATTACATACACATCGCTGCACTAAAAAAGAAAGATAATGTTATACGTTTAACTGCAGTTTCAGAGTTGTCGCTAAGATATGCATCAATCTAGTTAGAAGTAATGAAAAGTTGGAAGTGCTATGTGTTAGATCCTTAATCTAACGTGACTTATATGTGAATAACTATGTGTTACATGCTGTTATATAAGGTTAAGCCTAATTAAAAGTGATCTACTAAGGTTTAAGTATTTTGGGCTTTAATGTATCTAATAGGGTGTGGGTATTTAATGTGTAGAGACTTAAAGGTAATTTCTATTTTTATGATGGGCTAAAATAGAAATACCAAAAGATAACAGGAAAGTTATCAATATATAGCAGTTATGGTCCCCAGATCATACGAATCATTTTCATTCATTCTGACATCCCATCATCAGAAAGAGTACAGAGAGAAAGTTAAAGGGTTCTCTAGGAAAACGTGTTGATCTGGAAGACAAACTGCACGACTCTAGAGAGAAATCATGCAATATGGATTCAGGTACGCTTCCGCTTACAGATTTATTAATTCTTGATGATCTAACATGAATGTTCTTGGCTTTTGGGTGGTGGTTTTCACCAAATCTTTGATTTAAAATTTGAGTTTTACTACAGTAAAAAGCTCTCAAAAATAGTCACATCTAACTTTTTTGTTACAGTACAAATCTCTCATATAAAATTACATCTCAATTCAAATTAAAAACTCGAATCAACGAATTAAACTGGCCAACATTTCTAACCCAAATTTTGATTACGGGCGTATGATAATGTGGGTGGATCTATCCTAGTTATGGTAAATAATGAAACTAAAAAATTATCGACTCAAGGGTCCATATAGCTCAGTTGTAGAGCATTTCACTTTAGATCAAGAGGTCACCGGTTCGAACCCGTTTGGACCCTAATCTCTCACATAAAATTACATCTCAATTCAAATTAAAAACTCGAATCAACGAATTAAACTGCCAACATTTCTAACCCAAATTTTGATTACGGGCGTATGATAATGTGGGTGGATCTATCCTAGTTATGGTAAATAATGAAACTAAAAAATTATCGACTCAAGGGTCCATATAGCTCAGTTGTAGAGCATTTCACTTTAGATCAAGAGGTCACCGGTTCGAACCCGTTTGGACCCTAACATTGTTATGTATATTTTTTGTTGTTTATTTATTTATTTTTTAAACGTAAATATTAAAAATAGGCCATATATAATCCCTTCCGCGTTTAGGCGTTGGTCTTCCTCTCTGGCATTCGCAAAAAGAAGCTTCTTTAACGCGCTTCTCCTCCTCCACCGAAACCCTAGCCTTCTTCTTCCTTCTCTGCCCAAATTCCATCCCTCTCTCTCTGTCTCTCTAACCAAACATGTCAGATCCATTAAGCATGTCCCTCGACGATATCATCAAGACCAATAAGAAGACCGGATCCGGCAACCCTAGAGGCAGAGGCCGACTCTCCGGCGGTCCTGGCCCCGCCCGCCGCGTCCCTAACCGCGCCCCCAATCGCGCGGCACCGTACGCGGCGGCCCCCAAGGTTAGCCTCACCTTCCACCCTTCCGAGATCTGCTTCTCTCTTTGATTTCTTTTCCCTCTTTTTGGGGCATACAATTGAATCGGTTAGCGATTAAAGGTTCGATTTTTTCCAATGTTTTTGTGGAAATTTGATTAGGCACCGGAGACGACATGGCAGCACGATATGTATATGGATCAAGGGACTGCTTTCGCGGCTCAGGCTGGTCGAGCTTCCGCCATTCAAACCGGGACGAAGCTCTACATATCGAACTTGGAGTACGGCGTTTCAAACGAGGACATCAAGGTATATATTTTCTTCATAATTTTTCTTCTTATGTTTTCTTTTTTTGTTGGGAGTTTTTTGCTAAATTAGGGATTTTTGGCTGTGCAGGAGCTGTTTTCCGAAGTCGGTGACCTGAAACGCTACGCGATCCATTACGATCGAAGCGGAAGATCGAAGGTATCTTTGTCGAGCTTGGCATAAATTCAATCATTCTGATGATTCCTTTCTATGCTGCTGTGTGGTTTAGAAAAATGGAAAATACTCTTTTTCTTAGGGAACGGCGGAAGTAGTTTTCTCGCGACGAGCGGATGCGGTTGCGGCGGTCAAAAGATACAACAACGTTCAGCTCGATGGCAAACCCATGAAGATTGAGATTGTCGGAACTAACGTTGCCACCCCTGCTGCGCCTCCTCCGCCCGCTAATGGATCTTTTGGAAATTCAAATGGATTGCCGAGAGGGTATGTTATCAGCTAATTTTTATTTATTTATTAAATGAGTGCTTAGTTATCTACTCTAATGCTATTCCTAGCTTTGTCATTGTGCTTTGAGTTATTATGGTGTTTGGCGAACAAAGTATATAAATTTGTTGGGCTCAGTACTTTAAAAACCATGAAGGTGTCAAGATTTAAGTTTTGCTTTGTTGTATTGACCCCTTTTAGGTTAAGAGTCTGATAAAATTTCAATTTGAATGTTGTATTCTCACTCTCTGGTGTAAACTCATTTTATTTTATCACGCGGTGAAAGGAATGAAAAACTACATGTGTAATTGTATATAATGTTCTGTTCGAAACTTTGAACACACTTTTTATACAGTAATGTGCATACGCATGAAAATTTATAAAGTAATGCGCAAGCCCATGAAAAGGAAATTGATATAATGTACACAGGGTGGGAAAAGTAAAAAGCAGCCGGAAGATGGCTTTTGACTGTAATGGAGTTTATACTATAATTTTCTCTTTCTTATATGAGCGCCTTTTGCTATGAGGGATGATGTGTTTTTTACATAGTTGTATTTTGGACAACCCCAGGGAAAACAGATGATGCTTCCTTGCATATTTTATAGAGTGATAGTATGTCATTTGTTATTGCTTACGGTCACTTGTGTTTGATCATCTCTATGTCTTTATGGTTCTCGAGTGTTCTATGAGCTATGATCAACTATAGTTTTCCATTATTTCATTTATATGAAAGTTGACTTATGCCCATATCTTAGCAGATATCCCATCACATCATTGATGCGTGAAACCTTGCACATGGATGCATAGAAGCATAAGCTTAACGCCTTAACTTGTGCTATGTTATTGCTATGCTTGATCAGTTCATGTAGGCTACAAATAAGGGGCTGTATTATGTATAGTATTCCTGATTTATTTTCTTGTGGTTTTTGAACAGTGGACAAGGTAGGGGTGGTGGTGCTTTTGGACGGCCACGTGGTGGCGGTGGTGGGGGCCGTGGTCCTAGGAGGGGCCGCGGACGAGGCCAAGGCCGTGGTACTGGGGAAAAGATATCTGCTGATGATCTTGATGCCGATTTGGAGAAGTATCACGCAGAAGCCATGCAAGAAAACTGAAAGCAGCTCGTGTTTATTGATTGCTATAATTTCTTTTGTGGCCGTTTAAGTACTCAATGGTTTGAGAATCCCTTCTATTTTGTGTACTTCTACCAAAATCCAACTTCTAGAGAAAAACATAGAAATTACAGTAGAAACAACTGTTAGAATCTTGCTTTATGGAGTTTGGGCATTTATTGTTGATTATTCCTTTAACTTGGGTATGAAATGTGGGTTACTGGACTGCTGTCAGTATGTAATCTGCTCCAGCACCTTTTGGTTTTCTTTCATCGTCTTTTGTTTCATTCAACAAGTTGGGGTGAGGAAGCGGGGGCCTTAATTCTCTGTTTGTCCATGTACATTGAAAGCATTGGCTGCAAGGTGTGAAAGGATTGAGCCTTAAAGAAATCCCACACTGCTGCTATGTCTTATGCGGTTGCGACTGCTCAAAAACACTGGGGGACTTCATAGAGGTAGATTTCTTTGTTTCCCTTTGTTTATTCGTATTCTGTTAAGTTTTGTCCCTTGTGTTCTTGATGCAGTTTATTTTACTAAGTTTTTTTTGGCTGTGTTATGGTAGCTTTTTGTATGTTGTCCAGGGAAATTTTAACTCCCTGTTTATATGACGTGATATAGCGACAGTACATAAGAATATCTCTACTTTAGTTCAACTTGTTGACAATGCTGGTGGGAATAGGGGTTGAAATGAAACAGACTTATATATGGAAAGATGACTAGAGACCTGTTTGTTAACAATGGTTGCAAACGATGCGAGTGTTTTGCAGTTCAACACTATCTGGAAGAGCATAAATAATTTGCTGCTTAACTATGAACCCCGCACACCATTTTTATGCTGCTCGACATTATCGGGAAGAGAGTAAATAATCTGCTGCTTAGCTATCCCGCACATCATTTTGGTTTTTTCTCATAGCTATGGTTTAGGATGGTATGATCTCTAGTCTACCCCTTCAATGTTGGAACATAATTAAATCAAGGCCTTTGCTGTTGGTAGTTATTGTTCCATCGATGGATGGTTATTTAGTGAGCTATTTTTAATTGTAGTCTCTTGAAGAAATGTTGGTACGAATGTTGCATGAATATCATTAGTACGATGGAACGTGACCCAACAAGATTTTGGACAGCTTTACAAAGCATCAATGTTTTGAATGGTCATGTCATTATAACTGCACGGCAGGTGTTACCTTAAATTTGTTCTGAAAAGATTGGAAAACTACTTTATTTATAGCTAGTTCGAACACGGACGTTTTCTAGAAGTTCCTCAGCCCGATTCTGAGAAGATACGAATTTTGTTCATGTTCAGAAAATGACTAGAAGCTTACTTTATATCCAGAAAATTACTCGTACATGTCATTCAGAATCTCTCAGGCCAAAGGGATGATTGTTTTTTCCAACTGTTATATTACATGTGCATTATAATTGGTTTTTCTAGTTCGTGTAATTTTTAGTTGAAGTGAGAATTACTCGAACAAATAGAAACCTTGCAGTCTAGAATGTTAATGTACTTCGGGCACGTGCAAATCTTGAAACCTCATTGTTTCTGGTTTCTTGTTCCGTGCTTTTGAAAAATTAATCAATTTTAACTGCTTGTTTGGTTCTCAAGTTTCAACTGAATTTTTCGTTCAAATTCCAATTTTAGCGAGGAAAAACACTACTAGAAAAAAAGATTTGAATTGTGCGTATTAACTAGACGGATTACAACAGATGCTTCTGCGTTAGATTTGCGTACTTTTTTTGGCTGCAAACTGTTAGATTTGCATATTTTGTCTGTGCGACTTTTATTTTACTTGTGCGGCTTTTTTTTTTTCGCCCGGTATCTTCTCATTATTCTATTTTGGGTCAAATAGTTTTACCAACAAAAAATGGATCGAAATGCTCTTCTACAAACAATATAATTATAATAGTTGAGCGAATACAATATTATGATATTATGTAATTTATAATCAGAAGAATATGCATGATGTAACATGCCTTAATCTGAAACACCGAGGTAAGGAAAAACGAGAATACATAATGTAACATCCCTTGGAGCTGAAGCAGGGAGGCAAGGAAAAACAAAAATAACGCTCGTATTATGACCTTTACAACAGGGTATTACATTGAAAATTTAAGAATAGTGACTCTTCGGCTTCATCAGCTTCTCCCAAAAGGAGAAGACCAGCCCTAACAGGGAGTACAATATAGCCTTCACGCAAGACAGTATGAAGTTCCAACAAGAAGAAGGCCAATACCATGGATAAAGCAGCCTGAAGAACAGGCTTATAAGATGCCGAGGGTATTGGCCAACCTGCAACACACGAATTGAAGTTACGTCAGATGTCCGCAGCTACAAATGTTATAGCTATATAGCAGACGTCTCTCTTTGATCTGGCCAAGAATGTAGCAGAATGACACGTCTCTAAGTAGAATCAATAACTAAGGTCATGTTTAAAGAATTTAAATTAAAAAATTTCCGTCAATGATTCTCTAACAAAGAATTTAAATATGAATCAGAATCACTAATTTAAACACGTGAGTCAAACGGCCGGCCCTTTTAGATTTCTAGCAAAAGAAATTATCGAGTTTCAAAAACTGTTCATCAAGACTTGGACTTGTTCATTTGCACCCAAACTCAAATAAATCTAGCAAAAGAAATTACTGAGATTCAAAAACTGTTCATCAAGACTTGGGCTTGCTCATTTGCACTTAAACTTAAAAAAAAATTATTACAATCTTATTTAAGTTCATGTTCTTTTTGTAAAATTTGAGTTTAAATTTGAGTTTTAATTTAAGTTTTAATTTGAGTTAGAGACTAAAATATGAGTTCAAGTCCCCCCTTCAACTTAAGTTCTTAAACTCAAACTCAAGTTAATGAACAATATTTTTTCTATTCTTAAAAACGCCATAACTTTTTCGTTTTAATTCCGATTGTGATGATTTTTTTTTATGCGTTCACAACGAAAAGACGAATAAAATTTCACTCATATATCCTATTAAAATTTTCTATTGCCATTGAATTTTTATTAAAATACTATCTAAATACAAATTTAAGTTTTGATCTACCCAAACACAAACCCATATAGATTCTCAATTCAAACTATAACTCAAAATGTGTATATCCAAACACAAACTCAAATTAGAGTCTCAACTCAAACTATACTTCAATATACCTTAATTCAAATTAAGATCTGAACTCAAATCACCATGACTCAAATAATGCAAATGCCTCGGAGGTAATTGCAATTGGAAAGGAGTAAAAATAATAATAATAGATAAATAAATAAAAACTCACCGGGAAAAGTAAATCCAATGCATCCCAGGCAGCATGACGGACTGCTCTAGTGGGATACATTGGACCTCCAGGAGAAGTGAAGCTGTACAAACAACTTTTCAACCGTGCACTTGTGGTCATTCTCAATTCCATGCCTATTAAATACCGTATCAAATATATGAGCATAATAACCTGCTAAAGTTCCCTTCAAATTCAGAAAAATATATGGCAGAGTTATTACCTCGGAGAAATTTTATTTGTGAAAGATAGTGCAATAGTACTGGTTCTACCTTTAACTTCTGAAGCTGAACAACAAAAGGATCAGTTCAGCACTAATGCCAACTTGCACTTACATTCTTTTGAATGGAATTCACGAACAGCAATGAAAAGAGAGCGAGACCCTTTGAGATTTAAACTAATTTTACCTGGTCTGCAAGCTCAATAACAAGAAAATCATCCGGACCACCAACCAAGAAGGCGTTTGGGAAGGCAGGGACTTGCTTCAGGAAGCTCTCAAGCTTGTCAACTGGGGAACACGACACGTTAGAGAATATGCATGTAGTTGATCAAGAATAAAGTTACTCATCACAATCCCACCTGAGTTATAAAATAATATAAACCTTGAAAGTAAAAGATATAGGTCTCGTTGGGCCTGAAAATTGATGAACAATTTTTAAGTTAAATTCTGCTCCAAAATTCTTATTAGAACTAAAATCTCAGCATGTAACTTCGAGGGCAGCATTAATGCCTGACCTGTACAGGGATTTTGTTTAACCGTGATGGCTCCAAGACCACTTCCTCAAGTAGATACTGAATCAAACGAAAATAGAAAGAAATAAAACAAATCATGACCTTTTCAATAAAAACTGGTAATTAGAAATGAAAGCACTTGTGGTTGCACGCTTGGCCTTGTGGTAATTTCCACCCACCTCAAAGTTGAGGTCTTGAGTTCAAAAAAAAATTTAAAAAAAAAAAAAAAGGCAATAAAGAAAAAAGAAATGAACAACACTGACGCAAAATAGAGATTTGAAACACAATAATAGAAACTCACACGAAATAGAGATTGAAAACGCCTTGTATTTGTTTGGATGTCAATCCTACAGAAGCATGCAAAAGTTACTACACATACAGATGTAAAACATCCTCTGTTGATGAGAGGGAGCAAAATAAAGAAAAAGGTTACTTCACAAAGGAAAAATACAGCACAAAACACACAAAAGAGGAAATATAACAATAGCATTTTCGCTAAGGTAGGGAGGGGGGTAGAGACAAGAAAGGTCTACGATAGAACAAAACTACTATGAGGGGACAGCAAAGCTACTCAAGCAGAATTCAGCAATAAAAGTAATATATTATTAAACAGGACACGTAATAGCACTTCTTTGGTCTCAAGTCATTGAACAAATAGTCAAATTTTGCAACTTTACTGTGCCTCTTAAAACTTTTTATAACGGGCTTCATGTATAGTCAATCATCCACCTGAATAGGCATATAAATGCTAGTTTCCGTACCAGAAAACATTTGTAGCACCTTGAACAAGAGCAGATGAGTAACGGAGGAGGACTTCGGAATTGTCAAGTTCCACTTCAAACAACTGCCAAAAGAAGACGAAATGATTCAACTGAACATCATTGTAGCGTCAGAACAACGATTAGACCCATATTTCATTACTTTTGCGACTGTAACTTCAAAGTGCAACCTGGGCACTTGCCTAAGTAGGCAATGAGGAAAAGATAGTCATACATCTGGTCTCAATTGTGATTATCTTACCAACATTTTAGAAATTGGTACGGTCAAACGTCATTTCTCTCCCGTTTTTATTTATTTTTTCTCGAAAAACATGAAAAACAAAAACAACTTCAAACATAACCTTTACATTTTTGTATGACGTTTAATAGTTTATTAGAAAAAGATAAAATTAAACGATGAACCTGTACAGTTTGGAGCCATAAGATCTAAACAAATTTGAGCATTTTAGTAACATTAAAACAATAGGGAGTACCAAACTCCCAAAACCAATACCCATTTGAAAGAAATATCCACTAAGCTCACATACCCATTTGTGAAACAGAAGTGCAAAGATATGAGATGCAAAGGACTGGCTCCATAATTGAACAAGCAAATTCAGGATGGGTTTTCCACTCTCAGGCACCCTAACATAATAATCAGCAAGCACACCATAGAAACAGAGTGGACCGTCGCCGCCGTCGTCCGCAGGACGGTCTTCTTCTCTGCTGAGAATTATATCTGTTTTTCAATTTCAAAGCCAAAATGAGTACACAATTCTTCAAATTTTCACATGAAACGATTACACTGCATTTCCAGATGAGAACAACTGCTAATATCATTCCCTACAACATCCAACTCTTCTGAGCAATGAAAAATCTTTGGTGGGCCAAAACCCAATCAAACAATATTTAGTACTACCAATAAGATAAATCATATTATATTATAATGCCTTTTATCTAACTATATATCTCATAATGTCATTTTGACCACCATAATCCAATTGCTTAATTTAAGATGCTATATACTAAGAATTCGGAAATTTTCTGAATTATTCGTCTAACCTTTGGCTCGATCGTCAACCTCCAATGCAACATCAGCAAACAACTCCTGCAACAAGTTGAGCCTTTGCGATGGAGAAGCTGGTGCCTGCAACACCCACACAAAATAAAAAAGAATAATCCCGTTTAATTACCGAGAAAATCAATAGCAAATTAAAAACAAAAAACAAATCATATTTGAATAAATTCAACGAACCTTCTGGAGCTTCTTGTGGATTTCCCGAGAGAGAGCGTTCAGATAAGCAGAACTTCGAGGCGTCCAAGAAGCCTTTGGCATTGTGGAAAGGAACTCCAGAAAATAGCATTAGAAAACAAAAAAGGAACAAGGAAAGGAAATCACCCAACCCTAAGTTCCGATGCAAACACGGTCTTATCAATTCTTTCAAAATCTTCTGTGTTGAATGATTAATAAATTCTCTTCGGACAAGACCACGAGATGATCTTCAGAGTGGCCAAGGTTTCGACTTTCGAGTGATTGTCTCGGTCGTCGCCGACAAAACAAAATAAGTCGTAAAACGATAATAAAACAACCTAAAAACTGTTCGAAAACAAAAATATATTTTTTAAAAAATAAATAATCTAATCGAAGTGAGTGTTTGGGTTCAGTCAGATCCCGTCGATCTGGCGTCGGATAGAAGCAACACGGTGGAGTGGGAGACCTTTGGTTGGTGCTGTTCTGGTGCGTCATACTTTCAACACGTGTACTTCTTAGTTTTATTTTTTTGGATTAGATTGGATAACAATTAGGATATGATTGGATTACACGTTGGGCAAGGAAGTTGGCTCACCAGTGGATGGTTGCCGGATCGGCTGGCCGTTTAGTTCCGTTTAGTTCAGTAATTTAAATTGAGATGTGATTTTATATGAAAATTTTTTATTATAGTTAAAAAATTAAATGTGATTATTTTTAAATTTTTTTTATTATAATAAAATTCGAATCAATAAAATAAATATGACCTAAATATATTTATTAATTTTTTTTAAAAAAAAGTTTATATTCATAACTTTTTTGCTGGAGCATATCCAACATTTGCACGTAAAACGTTCGGGGCATCGTCAACATTTTCACCGAACATTATCCACATTTTGAACTCTCCATGAAGATATTTTTTCTCAAAATATTCATAATGTTCAAAAATATCCATAATATCAATAAATATCCATAAATATTTAGAATAGTTTTAAAAATATTGCGAGTCAAAATAGAGGCAATTTGAAATTATATAATTTGACTTATTATAATAGTTTTAGAATTCGAATACTCTTTATATTGTACCTTATTTATAATGAGATATTTAAATTTTAATTCATATAGAATTATAATAATTTTTTCTTATTATAATATAGGACATCGCTCTCATATTCTGATTAAAATACATTATTTTGTTATTAAATTAGTTCAAATTAAGTACGGAAAATCTATATCAAAATAGACGGTTTTTTTTTCTTTTTTGGTTGCGAGTCAAAATAGACGGCAATTTGAAATGTTATGATCGCATCTGATTAAAAACTTCCACGGTGCAATAAAGAGAAAGAGAGGTAATTTGAATACGGTATTAAATGCGTGGTTTACTATGATGAGAAAAACTTATCACGGCTTTTTTTTTTGTTTTTTTTAAAAAATAGTAGAAAATAGACTAATATGAAAAATTTAAGAAAATATATAGACCAATTTTTAGTTATAGAAATTAATAAGCCATAACTTGTTAAGTTATGGTTCATAACCAGATAAGTTATGGACAAACTTATCAAGTTATGGTTCATAGCCAGACAAGTTATGGACAATTATGAATAATAACTTGTCAAGTTATGGTTTATAACCAGACAAGTTATGGACGAAAACAGTAATTTGATCTATTTATTAACTTATGTAAACTATTGACTTATTAATTTTAATTCATCTCAAGTCTTGGCCTATTTTCTTCTTTCTCCCCTTTTTTTTGAAGTGATAACATGGCCTCTTCAAAATGCTACAATTAAGCTTAGTTTTTTCTTATGTTATTAATATATTCAGTGACGACCATTGCTATTGTTGCCGTGTTGAATTTACTTTACAAGCCACTTAATTACACAAAAATTCGTCCAAGTATTACGCCAGATATCATCAACTATAAATGATGACGCCCATGTTTGTTTTATTAGTTTAGTTCATGGTTCATTAACTTAGTTTACTTCAACTCAATTTAAACAATCATCAACTATAAATGATGAACAAAAAAGTGCCAACTCTCTGTTTTTCACACCTACTAAACACAAATTCAAATTTTAATCTCTGTTCAAATTAAAACTTTAACTACACATTTAAATATCAATTCAAACCACACAGTTTGAATTTTTCTGTTTAAATCAAAAAGTTCGAACCAACAAAATTTAAACCGGTAAACCAAACGGAGGTGAAATATTTTTCTGGTCGTTTTACGTGAAAATTAAAGCTGGAATAAGATAGTGCTGTGTGCTGTGAATTCATCCTCTTTGGTTCATGAGTTGAGAGACCAAAAAAATATATAAAACCAAGAAATACATAAAGCTTCTTCTTTATTTTATTTTTATTCTTTTACTGAATAGAAATTACGTAGAGCTTACACACGAGATATTCACAATCGAAAAAAATGCTCAAGACCGTACAGATACAGACATCATTGAAGGAGACATCCCAGAATGCAAGCAAACCAAATAGAGATTATACTTTTTATTTTTGTCTATTTAAAAAGAACCTAAACTCACCAGCCCATTAATATTCTTCTAACTCTATCCACAATCTGATTCCTAGCCATCATATTAGATAGTTGAAATCTACTGCTCTCCTCCAATAGAAATCTGTACACTTCCCATTCACGGTCAGATGCTGAATGCCTCCCTATTTCAGCCTGAAAACCATACAGCAAAACGTTATGACTTATTAAAGTTTGTAATTTTAGTTGGTCCTCCAAACCCAAAAAACAAAAGGGTGAATAATAAAAAGATCAATATCAACCATGTAATTAGTGAATGTGAAAAGTAGCTAGTACACTTCTTGCTGTAGTTTGCTGACGTACAATATATGGCAACGATGACATTTGTTTTGTTTTGTGTTTTTTTTTTAGAATTCGAATTTGGGGGTGAGTGGTTTGAACTCTAAGCCTTATGGTGTAAATTCACCGTTAAGCTGTGTTTCTGACCACATAAGGATGACATAGTTAAATGAACAAAATCGGTTACTAAATTGTTTGTCACTTGAAAGAGATTGAACCTAACATAAAATCCAAAACTGGTTTGTATTGCATAAATTTTCTAATTTTGTTCTATGCTATCAAACAAAATTAACTTTTGGTGATGGGAAGTTTCCTAGTCACTTTCACTTAATAGTTGCCATGTCTTACCGAGAAAACGCAGATTCCAAGAGTTTTTAGAGCAAGTGTAACATCATAAAAAACTCTAGGCCTCCCCTTTCCAGATAGCTCAACTGGATTAGCAACCAAGAGTTCGGCATCTGGCCCTCTGTTTGCGATGATAACACGCAGCGGGTGAAGCATTTCCACCTTCAAGTGAGAACAAAGTGCACTCTGCTTTTCAAGATCAACAATCTTTTTCCCATCTTTTTGCTGAATAAAAAGGTCTAAATCACGAAAGCCTTTTGAACTTAGCGAGAATCGACCATAAGATATCTGAATGAGGGAGGGAAAAGAGCAAGCAAAGAAAACAAACAAATAAAGCAAAGGCAATTAGCAAATGAAACCTATCTCCAAATGGAAATCATGAAGCAAAAGAAAGAATGATAAAGAAGTTCAGGATTTGGGCAATTTGATTAAGTCTACTTCCAAAAAGATGGGATAAAAAGGAAAGCATCCAGAAGTATTATCCAACCAATCACATTAATGCATATTAGTTTATTCATTTCTGCAGCCATAAACATTTCAGATAGTAATCTATTGATCATTGTCATCTCATTATAAAACATAAATTGACCGATTATTCATAGATTGAAACTTTCCTATTTCTATTGGATTTTACATGAACAAGCGGATTGGGGAACTACGGCAGTAAATGATTGCTTTTCTAATTCCAATTAGTTAAGGTGGTAGGTTGCTTGACTCCTATAGACCTACCTAAGAGTTTATGTTATAATTCCAAGGAAAACCAGATAAGATAGACCACTAGCTTCAATATATACTGTCCTACCTAGTTTGGGAGGTGGCTTGCTTAATTCTTGGATTTAATTTGTATTTGTTTTAGGGTTGTATTCTTTGAGATGAACGGGACACAATTAAACGCGAGGAAACTAGTCAACTTGACATGCAACTGTGCGACATCTGTACTCATGCCATATTGTTTAAGATAAATATACAGATATGGATAATCAAACAGAGCAATTGAACAATCCATACTAAATTTCTTAAGAATCAAAGGCACAAAGCTTTACCTGGATATTGCAGTCTTTCAACGTTCGCATGACATCATAGAGGAGACCCTTGTGATCAGCACAGTGAACTTGTAGCAACGTATGAGCGGGGCTCAATGAGTTGTCAACTGTCACATTGGCTTTCTTCAACTTCGTCATATCTGGACTCAAAGCTTGAGAGTGGATTTCTTTATCTGATAATTCACATCTAAATAGCTCTTCAGCTACTGCAGGAGAAAGAGAATTGATGCCTTGATGATGTTCATACTCGGGACCTGCCAACTTAAGTTCACATGTGATGCATGAGTCACCAAGTACAGTGTGCAGTTGTTCCAAAGTCTCATTCTGTCGTTCTTCCGTATGGAGAAGCTCCCTAAAATGAGAACATAAAAATATATCATAAATAGCCCCTTCCATATATTTATATACATATATGAGTGTGGTTTTAATGGTTACTCCAATATTTACCATCAATGGGTATAATTGTTTATCATAAATAGCTAAATAAATAACCATTATAGTTCTTTTGGAAATGTGATACTGGACAATCCACGGTCGAATTTACATGATTGATACTTGACAGAATGGTTCAAACAATTAATAAACTTAGGAAGATATTTTGGGAGAGCCATTTTAGAAACAAATGAAATAAAAGTAAGTTCCAAGTTGTTGCAAGAGAAATTTGAACATAGAAAATATGGATGATATAATTTAGGTTTTCCCAGAAGCCAACCGCTTGCTGATCAGGCTAAACATGGCTGCCAATGACGCAAAGCTCGGACAATTCCTCAAATGAAGACACCCCCCACTACCAAAGAAAGAAAGAAAGAAAGAACTTTACCTATTATCTGTTATAAAGAATAGGTCCAAGACTCTGCCATCTGGTGTTGTGGTTACTTTTACTCTCTGTATTGTAAGCTCAAGCTCGCATAGAACTTGTGTAACATCTAGAGAAAGTAACAACCATAGTTTAGTATGTGAACGACATTGATTTCCCTTTTCCTTTTTCGTTGAATCAAATGAAAATGAGGCTTCGATGACCAAGAAAGCCTTTACCGTGTAATAATCCTCTCCGATCAAGGGAAAAGAACTTCAATAGATAAACTGGAGAAGATGATGAAATTGTAGATTGCTCATAAAGGAGAAAACACGTTGAACATGATGGGCATACTGAAAGGAGCCTATTCTTCAAACTTGACCATTTCACAATAACTGAGCTGGAATGAGGAACCACCCACAATACTATGTAGCACCATATCCCATCAGTTGAAATATCTAAATAAGAAATGTACCAAAACACAAGAAAACCGCGTCAAACCCAGAATTTCCTTGCAAACATTAAACACGCGGAAAACATTATGATCACCCACAACATTTAACACCAAAAACATAGAATCTTCTCTTTCTAAACAGTAAACATGAAGAGAATATAATGACCACCTACAATATCTATCACTCGACCATCACATTAGCACTATATCTGTGTTCGAAGACCTAAAAAAGAAACTACAGTACTTTAAGACAACTTTAGATTAAATCTGTAAGATCATTCCAAGAGTCTCATTTGATTCATATGATACGATAGCAATAAAAAGGATCGACATTATGGGATTGAAGACCCTGAATGCACGGAAGTCTATATAAATTGGCAACTTCAATCCCTATTCAGGCATTACTTCTTTACACGCCTAGGTTTTTCTGTTTTGGATTTGTATAATCTTTTAACAAACAAAACTGTCAAAAGAATATAAAAATCCATCATGAGTATTGATGTTATACAGAAAATTGGGGAATTTGTGTGTGTGTGTGTTTTTTTTTTATTTCTATTTTCATTTGGTTGTTATGTTATCTATGTTTAGTTTGGGTTTGATTTTGGATTCCTTCAAACTTCTTAGTATTTTATTTGACTGGGCTACTTGCATTGAAAAAAGATTGATTAGTCTACCATACACAACGCTCTGGGCTTGTAAATTGAGTGGTTTTTTTTCTGAATTAATGTAGAAACCTTAGTTTTCCTTTAAATTGTCACGCTTAAATTATTCATAGTAGCTTTCTGCTGCGTCAAGTACTCAGTATCCAAATTATAACACAAAACCACGATCCTTCACGCACGTACCAGAATCAAGAAAACCGTTTGTTATTGTCAAAAATGAAAAATTAACAGTTGATTTTCAAATTTAATCATGATCTTACCTTTAAATTCATAAATATATACGAGCTAATTTTGGTTATATGGTATTAGCAAAAAAAAAAAAAAAAAGAAGCAAATTAAACGTAAATTGAACAACAAGAGCAAACAACCGCAAAATAAAAGTTGACATTAGCAACAGAAAAACTCAATTTAAAAAAAAAAAATCTTCTAAAACTACTAAAAGAACAGTGTTACACAAGTAGAAAGTCAAACATAGGAAATTAGCAATCATCAACTCGAGGAAAGAAGTAAAGAAAGAAGTGAGAAATAAAATAATCCGAACATGAAATTACAAGAGTGATTTCTTTTTTTTTTTTTTTGGTTGTTGTTTCTAGAACATACCTCCTTTGGTGATATAAATCTCAAAATCGAGGATTATTCTGCAAATATCGCATCCGAGGCCGGTCTTATCCGGGCAATTAACGGTGACGACAGACGGCTCTCCCGGCGCCTTTCCTTTCTGTATCAAAACGACGTCGTCGCTCGGCAATCCCATATCCAAAAACCGGCAAACCAAAAATAACAACAATGATAAAATAATCCCCGCGCTTCAGTCTCGGAGACGACGTCGTCTCCGGCGGAAGTTGAGCTCAGCCCGAGTAGCTAGGAGGGGAAGAAGGTTGTTGAGGTTCCAATAGAACTGTAGAGAGACAAGTTACCAATAAAGTAATTAGGGAGAGACAGAACGACAAAACGGATAATATAGTAAATAAATAATAAAAATAAAAAATATACAAGTGGGGAGACAGGTAGGACTAGGAGGAAGACTGTACGCTGGTTTCCTGTGGACGATGTCGGCCGTGGCATCCTTGGGAGTCCACGTCACCGACTTGACGTCATTTCATTGCCACGTGGACGATCAGAGTTAGGTTAATTTGCTCACTAGTGTCCAGAACTTACTACACAGATTCAGATTTTCCGATTAATTGTTAGTGTCAAAATTAATATTTAATAAATTAAATCATATTAATTTATTTAATAATAAATAAAAAATTAATTATAGAGCAATTTAAATTTTTTTTAATGCAATTTAAATTTTTTATACCACATAACATAATAATAATAATTAGTTAAATAGTAATTGACACATTAATTAGAAAGAGAATTTGAGTCCATTTGTTATGGCCTCCTCATTTTTCTGCAACGGCTGCTAGTAGAGGACATGATGTGTAAAGTCGCATTAACTTCTTTTTTTTTTTTTTGACATAGTCACATTAACTAATCTAACCTTTTCTTCTCCAACTTTACTTGAAAATATAAATATTATTCATGACAAGGAATTCAACTTTTATTGACAGTTTAGCGGAAAAATGTAGGTCTTTATCGACACAAAAGAAAAGGAAGTGAAAACTTGTAATTGGTTTCAACGAATCCATTATTCCCTTATAAAGAAAAAATTTTTTAAAAAAAAACCTCATTTAATTCCTGCCCGAAAATAAAAGTAAAATAAAAGTTTTTTTTCCGTAAGAGTAAAACCGTTAAGAGTTTTAAAAGTTGGTGACGGTGAAAATTCATCAACAAAGAATTAATAAATTTTACGATAAATTAATGCGATTTGTAACGATATAAATACAGAAGAACATAATTAAATGCAGTAAAAATAAGAACACGCGAAGATTTAAAATAGTTTACACTCGATTTGAAAGCTACATTCACTGTAGAGAAAATGAGAGAATTTCACTAATTTGATAAGAGATTACACGTTTTCTCCTCAATGTGAGACTTCAGGGAGTTTCTAGTTTATAATCCTCTATTTATAGCTTAGGTCACCGCCCATAAACCTTCCATATTTGAATTTGGGATATTTCTTTTGTCTATGAGATAGTTTCTCAAAAGATAGAGATTACATTCAATTAGTGCAGTTTCCATATTTAAATTTCATATTTAAAATACAAATCATATTTTCTGAAGCAAATCTCGCGGATTCATTATCTTTCTGAAACCTCGACTTCGTAAGAGTCGGACGAAGCCTTTTCACCCTAGATGTAGCCTGAAGCCTCTGGAGCCTTATGAAGTCTCGACTCCTTAAACACTTTCTTGATCTTAAGAAGCCTCGACTTCGTAAGGATTGGACGAAACCTTTTCTCCCTAGGCGCAGCCTGAAGCCTTATCCTCTTGAACATTCTTGAAGCTTCTTAAAGGGTCGACTTCCTGCCATTATTGCTTAATGTTGATGACATGGCACCATGACTGAGTTATCCTTGTGCTCTTAATGGGCTTCTTAATGACATTGGGTCTTCTTAATAGGTCTATATTTTTACCCTACAACAAAAGTGATCGGAGATTTTGGGGTTTGGAGTTTTAGAGATAATTAAGTTTGGTTTGTTTCACGAATTTGAATTGAAAAATGAATTTATATGAGAAAAATGCTAATTTTTTCTAAGAGTGAAACCGAAAGAGTTTCAAAAGTGATTGGGAGTTTAGGATTTAGAGAATTAAGTCCAGTTCGTTTTGCGGATGTAAGTTAAAAAATAAATTTATATGAGAAAATACTGTAGAAAAAAATGAATTTTACTAAAATTGGCGGTGTGATTCATGACAATAACATAGTGGTATTAGGCGCAATGCCAAAGAAAATTCATGGGAGTTTCACCGCCCATTTATCTGAGTGCATTATTGTGAGAAGCTGGACTTAATCCTCACATTGTTGAAAATGAAGTTTAGAGGGTTATCACTGCTATCAAATCTTTCTCTCCCTTTGTTGTGGAAGGTTATATCCTTCATGATATGCAAAAATGTTCTAATGTGAGGAGTTGTCCGTAGTAGGGAAATTGATGAGAAATTGATGCTTAAAGTATGTCATTGTTATGGTTTGTACCATGTTAAATAGCCATTTGGGTGAATGAGAAATCGATACTCATTGCATGTCATTGCTATTGAAAAGTTGGAAGCTCATAAAGGGAGAGTTAAAAGTCCCACATGGGAAAGGGACTAAAACTTGATGAAATTTATAAGTGATTGCACTTTTAAATTTAGGTAACAATGAGTACTCAAGAGGCATGTGATTGGTTAAGGGCTTAATGTGGGCATCCGTACGACGCGGGCGATGCGAATGTTGGTCTATTGGGCTTGTCCTCATGCAGTTTTATTTTACAAATTTTTTATTTGTTTTTCCAACTTAAATCCAAATGTTATTTTTATTAAATTTGGAATTTCAATGCCTTAGAGCATATTCATCCGGATGTGTAGGGGGTCGTAACCTCTAAATTGAAATCTCATTAATTTGAGATTAAATTGGTTTAATTCTCCATTATTTTTGGGTTTGTAATACCCTTTCTTGCAGCCTATAAAAGGAGGCTTCCTCAACCATTTGGAAACACACCCAAATTTCATAAGCTCTAGAGTTTGTTTTGTTCAAGTCCTGTTTATATTCTTAGAGTGTTCTATGAATTATGGTGATAAAGAAAAGGCACAGTTGGTGTTCACTGGAGTAGTGTTTTTGTGCTGAAGTTCTGCTCACTGTCGTTGTGTCTTGGGAGATAGACCCTCGTTGAAATCTCAAGCACCCAAGGAGAAGGCAAATCTGTTTTAAAAAAATTGTGAGTTTTACAAGCCTCGATGTTCTTCTGGTTCAAAATCTACTTACTCTTTAAGGTTAAATTTGGTTGTAATTTCCTCGTTGTAATTTTTTTATTAATATAGTCTATCTGTTCGTTTCTATTCTATGCATTTTTGCTAACAAGAGACAACATTATGGTAAAAAATTTGAGTTAGTGATTCAAAATGTGAAACAAAAAAAGCCTTTTGTCTAAGTAGAAGTATATTCTTTCTTTCTTTCATTTTCTAAAAACAGAATGTACTTTTTCATTTACTCCGAACAAACCTACCATGTTATTTTTTTTAATCTTTTTTGTGATTTATGACAATTGCAAAACTATTGTTTGTCATGCTGAGGAAAAATCCACCTTGATACATTATCCAATTTAGCCAAAATACTTTTATATAATACAATAAAATCTCAAAAAAATATTTGATAAATTAATAACTTTGATTAAATAATAAAATCTTCTAGTCTTGATTTGGGTTAATAGACTAAATTAATAAATTTATTAAATGCATAAGATAATAATTCTTTTCAAGAGAAAAAACCAGAAATATCACTCAAGATGGTAGAAATTATTATTTATGTTATTTTACTTAAAAATAAATAATTATCTTTCAATTAATAAAGATAACACATAAGGCCATGATGACACCTAATTGTTTAAAATGACATAAAGAATATGTCTTAAAAAAAATCATGGCAAACCATGAAGAAGGTAGTTATTTAAAGTTATTGTTGCTTGGAATGCCTCTTTTATGGAAACTATGAGTGTTCACAGATTGGAATCCGCGGATTAGGGGTCAATTAGCAATTCAATCCAAAACCTCCGAATTGGTAAAATTCTTATCCACATCTGATCCAAAACTTTTTCCAATCCAATCCAACACCTATCAGATTTTCCGAATTGAATTCACAGATTCCATGGATTACGACATTTATAATTAATAACTATATTAATGTAATGTCTGAGAATTTTATTAGTATAAATATGAGAAATTATCTCACTTTAGATAATAAAATTTCATGTTAAATTGTTTAACTATGTCAACGTGATTTTAATGATGAGAATTAAATTATTTTATTTTTTACATTATTGAAATGTTAATTGCAAAATGTTATTGCATATGAGTTTATGATTTTATGTGACGAGAATGACACGATCCCAGTAAATTTTGAGATGAATAAAAGACATAAGAGAAGTTTAATGTTAATAACTGAAATTACAATTCTTGTTTAAATTAGTAATTGGTTTAGAAATAAGCTAAATTAATTCAAGAAAATCATAATTAATTACGGAGCAAATTAGAAATAACAGCGACAAATAATTTTGTATTTTAACAAAAATAAATAATTCATCTTCAAAATTTCATTAGTATAAATATGGGAAATTGTCAGAATTTAGACAATAAATTTTCATGTTAAATTTTTAAACTATGTTAACATGGTTTTTATGATGAGAATTAAAAAATTTTATTTTTTTATTTTATTGAAATGTTAATTGCAAAATTTTATTGCATATGATTATAAGATTTTATGTAACGAGAATAAGACGATCCCAGTAAATTTTGAAGATAAAGAAAGACATAAGAGAAGTTTACATGATAATAACTGAAATTACAATTCTTGTTTAAATAAATATTGGTTTATAAATCAACTAAATTAATTCGAGAAAATCATGATTAATTTTGGACCAATTAGAAACAAGAGTGACAAATAATTTTGTATTGCAACAAAAACAGATAATTCTATGTTGCAATAGTGTTAGTAATAATAAGCTCGGTTATGCCAAACTCATGTCATGCAGTTAGTATAAATTAAAGATAGTATTAGTATATAAACTATAAAGAGAATTGTATTCATAGATGAATTTGTGATGTTTGCCTTAAATTAGCAGGTTGTTGGGACTGATGTCCTTAAAGTATAAGATGTAATTAAAGATTTTATTATTTATTAATAAAGAGGAAATTCATTATATTTTGTGCATGAATTATTTGAATACTTTGTGAATATCATTAAAAGTTTCACGATTATTTATGTGACCGTAAATATTGTATAAGTGTTATATATTAGAGCATAATATTTAAGAATAATAATCAAAATAAGTTCATACTTAATTTAATTAAAGTTCCAATTAAATCTATCGATGGTCATATATAGAACAATTTTAATAATTAGTTGTTAGCATACCCATATTTATGTATTCATGTCTTTCGACTTACTCGGTATAAATTTTGACATTTCTAAATACTTTAAATATTGTATATAAGTGTTATATACTGAAGCATAATATTTAAGGATAACAATCGAAATAAGTTTGTAACTAATTTAATTAAAGTTCAAAATTTTTAATTAAAACATTATTGATACATGTCATTCTCATTAAGAATGTAACAAGCTTATACGCAACGTTAATGTGGAGTGATATTGAATGAGTTTTTCATACATAATGAGATTATCTAAGATTGAGACAAGACACGATTCAAAGTTCTAATAATTTCTGTTAAGTATAGAAATTTGAATTAAATCTATTAATGGTCATATATAGAACAATTTTAATCATTAGTTGTTAGCATACTCATATTTATGGATACGTGTCTTTTGGATTACTCGGTACAAATTTTGACATTGCTAAATCCTATTTCTTGTATCTTAGAGACATGATAAAGTAGGTAGTTGGAAATGCTAATATACGAGATGCAATTCATTATTTCTTGATAAATAAGTAGATAAATAATTTCCTTGCAGTGTTGATTCAGTACTCGAATTAGTAAGAGCGATAGTTTATAAAGTTGTTTCATGAATTGTTATCCATTAGAGCGTCAATGGTACTAAAGGAGAAAGATGTAATTAGAGAAGTTAAGGGGTTTTACCTAACTCTAATTATGAATTATTTATGGAGGATCGATCTATGTGAAGTGACTATAGCATATGGACGTTCTACAGATGTAAAATAATGTCTATAATTACGATAGTGTAATTAGAAGTTTATAGTGGATTAACTATGGAAGTAATAGAATCAATTAATTAAATTTAATCAATTGTTAATTTTATTAAAATTCAGAATTGTAGGTCTATGAGTCCCTCTGTCGCCCTTATAAATTATGCAAGACATAAAGAATATTATGGAAATTTAGAATTATAAACTTCTAAATTATATCATTCAATGAATTAATTATGAAATAATTTATGAACTAAATGACATGATTATTGAATGTTGATTAGGTATGATATTTGGGGTTTATTAAATGTGTTTCCTTCTAAAAATATTAGTTAGGCAATAGGCACCAATTATTAAAATATTAGTTGGTTAGAGACAATAAATAGGAAAAATATGTAGAGCAAATCTATATAATGAAATGAGTTTTATTAGTTTTGGGTGTTTTTGCTTAAATTAATAATATTTAACCCAAATAAAAGTGCTCGACATAAAATATTTATACTATATATATAGCATTTCTAAGTCTAAATACATTCTTGTCATTGTATTTTTTTAGAGAATTTAACACAACCCTAAAGAAATCTATTAATTTAACAAATCTTAAAAGAAAAATCTTCACCATTTAAAAAAGACAAAACAATCACGTAATACTAAGTTCATAGAAGAATCTCTTAAGAAACCTATTAATTTAATAAATTCATTCGAACAAAAAAGAAAAAAATTAAGAAATTAACAAACTCATTACTTTGTACAGGTTTGTTACTCTTTTTTTTTTTTATCTATATATTACTTTTAACCAGCTAGAACATGTACATTTTAAAATTTATGGAGTTAAGGGAACATGTTGACTTGACACAAGTGAAAAAATTCAAGAGAATTTATAAAATGATAAATTTTATTTTTGCTCCCTGAACTTTGGTCACTTTGTCATTTTGCCTCCCAAACTTTGAAAATTGGTCTGCACACCCCTTGAACTTTAAAACATTATTAACTTTGTCCATTCAGTTAATTTGATTAATGGATTTGATGACATGTCAATTATTGGAGGGGTAGTTTAATTGGATTATTTTCATAAATGCCCCCCGAAGTATTACCTTATTTAAAAATGCCTTGTAATTTATTAAAATATATCAAAATGCCTCTTTATCTATAGAAAACATAATAAAATAATAATTTTATTGACGTGTCATGTCATTAAAAATTAATAAATATATTAATTTTTGATTAAATCAAGAAAATGATTAAATATTAATAATAAAAAATAAGTATAAAACACTAATTTAAAAAATTCAAAAATTAAATAAATCAACTATTTTTTTGTTTCAAAAATCACAATAAGAAAAGAGGAAATTTTTTTAAAATTAATAATTATTGACAAAGAGGAAGTAGGTTTTTCAAAAAAATTTGCCACTTTTCTTCTTTGTTTTTTTATTCTAAAAAAATAGTTGATTTTTTTAATTTTTAATTTTTTCAAAGTAAAGTGTTTTATATTTATTTTTTGTTATTTTTTAATATTTAATCACTTTTATTGATTTAATTATAATTTAATATGTCTAATTAATTTTAAATGGCGTAAATAAAATTATTATTTTATTATGTTTTTTTAGATTAAGAGGTATTTTGATATATTTTCATAGATTAGTGAGCATTTTTAAATAAGATAAATACTTCAAGGGACATCTATGAAAATAATCCATTAAATTTTTCATTCAATATTTGTCACATCATTAAATCTGTTAATAAATTAACAAAATGAGTAAAGTTAATAATGTTTTAAAATTCAGGAGTGCACAGATCAATTTTTAAGGATTGGTGGGTATTTTTAAATAAGATAGATATTTTAAGAGGCATCTATAAAAATAATTCATTAAATTTCTCATCTAATATTTATCACATCATCAAATTCGTTAATAAAATTAACAAACTAAGTAAAGTTAATAATATTTTAAAATTTAGAAGTGCGCAGACCAATTTTTAAAAGGAATAAAGTCACAAAAAAACTAAGTTTCGGGGTATAAATAAAATTTATCCTTTACAAAATTTGTCCAAGCTTTAATGCATCTCAACCGTCCCCTTGCAACGTGCCAAAAAGAAAATCCTACGGTCGATAAACACGAAAAATCATCGATCCTCGGTAAAAGCCAATAGCCAATAATAAGACGCCGCTCTTTTCTATTTCAGCCCCCAAATTCTCCATTAACGCATCTTCAATTTAGAAATCCAATTTTCTTCTTCCTCAAAACCCTTGTTTTCGTTTTCTAGAAATCCTCGGAATCAATGGCACCAAAGGCAGAGAAGAAGCCCGCCGAGAAGAAGCCAGCGGAGGAGAAGAAGTCCGCCGTCGCTGAGAAGGCTCCCGCCGAGAAGAAGCCCAAGGCCGGCAAGAAGCTCCCGAAGGAGGGCGGAGCCGCCGCCGGAGACAAGAAGAAGAAGAGAGTGAAGAAGAGCACCGAGACCTACAAGATCTACATCTTCAAGGTTCTCAAGCAGGTCCACCCAGACATCGGGATCTCCAGCAAGGCCATGGGAATCATGAACAGTTTCATCAACGACATCTTCGAAAAACTCGCCCAGGAGGCCTCAAGGCTCGCCAGATACAACAAGAAGCCGACGATCACCTCGCGGGAGATCCAGACCGCGGTGAGGCTTGTGCTTCCGGGCGAGCTCGCCAAGCACGCGGTGTCTGAGGGGACCAAGGCGGTGACCAAGTTCACGAGTTCTTGAAGCGATCTGGCTGCGGATCTGATTGTTTAGGGTTAGGGTTAGGTTTCTAGCGGTATATGCTGGGCTTTTGTCTCTAAAGCCGTTTTAATGATTTTTTAGTGTTGTTTGTATGCTTAATCCGCATGTTTCTATGGTACAAATTGAAAGACAAAACGGTTTATATATCATATCTTATGTTCCTCTAATTTGATCTCTGGTACTTCATGTTTGTGAATGTAGAAATATCACTATGCTTATTGATTTGCTAGCTAATTTTCTTTGCATCATCGCTCGTGGTTATATTAACAAATTGTGTCCTTCTTGCTTCAGTATCTATAATGTACAATATTTAATTTGCTTGTTTAAAATTGACGAATTTTCTTAGCAGACTTTAGGTCTTTGTTTTTGTGTTAACTGCTTTATATTTTCATAATTTAGGGCTTCCAGGAATTCCTTTGTCTCACAGAGTCTGGATTCATCTTTTTACGCCAAAATGTTTCTCCATTATGTGTTCTGAAGAGCTAGCTTTACATTTCAGAGATAGTGGAAAATGGTGGTTTTTGACGGTGATTTTATTTTAGTACACAAAAGTCTTTGTTTGTTTTACCGATTGAGTTTTCAATTTCAGATTAAATTTTCAATTTCAGTTTTTTTACGGTTCTCATAAAATCATATATATATATATATATATATTTTTACTATAGTTAAAATTAATTTTTATATAAAGTCGCATACAGTTTAAATTAAAAACTCACAAAATTGTGGCAAAGTTTGTTTTTTTTTTTTTTCAACTTTTTGGCGGGTTGGCAATTGTTGGCGCCTTATCTTCAACTACTAAAACTGAAGAGGGAGGGAAGCTCAAAATATGCCAAGAGGATTGAGACTATTATTTTTCTCTCCTTAAGCATCTCGAGGATTTACTCATCGTTTTTATGTCATTCCCTTTCTCCTCGATCTCATGAGTGGTGGCTGACATTTTTGAAGAACCGTTTCAATAAGAAATTCTTGATCTTTCAAGCATTGCTAAATATAGCATCAAGCTCAGCGTCACTCGTTTTAAAATTGTTATCTTCGAAGATGTGCGATTAAATTTAGAGCTATTATCTCTATTGATCAACCATTAACTCAAACTCCATTACTCTTATCTGTCTCTGTACAATGTTTATTATCTTATTGAGATCTCATGTTTATTAACAGTTTGCCTGCCTAATCCAGCATGGGATGAGAATTTGGAGGAATAAATTTTTATTAATCTGACCTTAATGCAAGTCGAGGGTTAATTTGATCGGAAGAAATAAATTGGATATGGAATTGTTTGTAGGTCCCTAATGGTGGAACATCTAAATACCAGAGAACTTTAATACATGGGGAAAAATTGGAACACAATTCAATATTCGTTAACAGCAGAAATGGATAACATAACATAGTACATTATTCATAAAGCAACGAATTTGGTTGGGCAGCTTGTCACCCTTCCAAGTAGCCTTTCATTCCACCGTCCCTGCCAAAGAAATAATATAAGATTTAGATACCAATTTGACAATAGATAACAAAGAAGGGATACAGAGACTTGTTTTATTGAAGATACTACATTGATGAACCTTTTTTTTTTTTTTTTTTTTTTAAATTTTTTAATTTTCAGATTTAGTGATAAACACCAACTTTAGAACGATCAAATATCCTTAGTGGGAAAAGAAAACTTGCAGATTAGAGATGATTCCATCTCAGCTCAAGTTTCTTTTCTCTGTTTTTCTGTTTTCTTCTTTCCTTTGGCCACCATTGTTGAATTATGATGTGAATTTCCGCAACCCACCATTGTTGAGTCCCAACCCAAGAATTACTTGTAACTGCAATTATCAACTAGGCAAGTGTGAAGGAACAGGTAAAACTCACGAAGATTTTTCTTCTTGTTTGGCAAAAAGGAAAATAATACTCTCCTCAAACATAACATCTCTGGAAATAAAAACCCTCCCATTTTCATCTAGAACCTTTGTGGTTAAGGCTATAACTCAAAAAAGTACAGGTGTAAATCTAAATTGAAGCTTATTTCTGTTGTAGAGTCTAGTATTGGGATAAACAGGCAGGTCCAAACACTCAATTGTGGATAGACAGGTTGTTTTCAAGAGGAAATGTTTGAGGAGAGGTGTAGGTAAACGGTTTCTGAGAAAAACCTTTGGTTCTAGATGCTTCATCCCAGAACTTAAAGGGCTTAGAGGATTAAGCAACTAGGTGAGACCATTTTCCGCAACGTGTTTATGCTCTCTTTCTACTATCCTGTTCTTGTTCATCTATATGATAGCATTAATCCCTATTAATTATGTCATTACAAATAAGGAACTTGGTGAAAGGATCGAAATCACCTCCCCTTTGTATACCTTTTGTTTGTACCACAATTGCAATTCAGCATGAGTCATGGCAAGGAAAATTTAATGAGCAAAATGTACACCCTAGAGATAAAAAAATGTACAAGATGTAGTAGTTCAGTGTACTCTATGGTGGAATAGAAACGGCAATTTTATGTCTCTTCCCTAAACAAGCAGCTTGACCAACAGAAACAAGATTTTGTTTATATATTCAAGATTACATTGTTTAAGAACACAAGAAGCAACCCTTTTAGAGTGGTGACCCAGCCTGTTATGCCAAAGACTACAGAGAATATGTACAAGAAGTATTCTTTACAGATTAAGACTTAGAACTACTGTCTGTCTATAGAAGAATTCACATAAGAAAGCTTAGTAACGGTAATAGTGAGCTCAAGTGGAATTTGAATTACTTGAGAGTTGAGAACTTGGAACGCTTGGCATATATGAGCCTACCATTTTCCTAGGTGACTCAGCCACCAGAACTATTAAAGCATCCTCTAGTGCTAGAATTGCCATAAGCACTCAAACTACCACGACCAAAAAAGCCACCTTGTGAACGGAACCCCTCGAGTTATTTTGAGGACTACGGCTATACTGAGAAAATTGATTTTTGTCAAAGTTAGAGAAAGAACTTTGATCGCTAGAAGGACAAAATTTCCTTCTGTTCTCATTTCCCCAGGAGTGATGGCCAAATTAGTCATACTTAGTGCTTGTACTTCAGAATCTATAGTCCTTAGATAGCTAGATTCTTTTCAATCCCAGCCTCTTGTGCAAGAAGTAGGGATTCAGTTTCATCCACAAAATACTCATCTATTCGAGCATTAATGGAGATTATAAAAGTCTCATATTCCAAGGGCAAGCCATCAAAAATGGCATCAATGTCTCACAAACATCGTGCCCTACCAAGCCTAACATGTCAACAAGAGACCTAATCTTTAACAGATATTCATTCACAAACAGAAAACCCCTTGAGAGTATTTTGCAATCGATCTTTTAACTCTTTAACCCTAGTACGGACCTGTTTGGCAAAGTATACTTGAAGTTGTGCTCCAAATGTGCAAAGAAGAATTGCAATTCATCATGCGAGTGAGAACTCTATCCGAAATTGAAGCAAGAAGTCAAGACACAATGATATAGTCTTGTTGCTCCCAAACGAGGATTCTGAGTTGATTTTGATACAAGCCTCATCTTCCCGACTAAAGAAGGATTACAGACTCAGAGAATAAAAAAGAAAATGCTGAAGTCGAAAACTCCTAATTGTTACAGAACTTGCTTCCTTCAAATCAGACATTGTTTCAAAATTGGATGGGTAAAAGTAACTTAAATAAATCGAGAACAGCTTAAAGAAGTATCTCCCATGGCGGACTTTCATTAATTTTCCAATTCCGGTATTTCTTACTTTGATACCTTACTTACTGTTGATACCGGTGGAGTCTTATATCACGTTCAGTGTAAAATTTGTAGCACAAATATAGGTATGAACGTGAAAGAATAGAAGGACACAAGAGAATTGGTATCGCGGTTCAGTAACTACCTACTCCGCGAGGCCATGCCCAGATGATGAACAATCTACTAAGAACTCAATTTACAACTCAATTGGACTTTTTCAAGACAAGACGCCTATGATCTTGTAATTTTCTAATGGACTCGATCAGCAAGATCCCCTCGACTTACAATGTTGAAATCCCTTCACCTAAGTTTCTCTCCCGAAAAACTCAAACCCTTCTCCCGAAGAATTATAACAAATACAAGTGTTTACAAAATGATTCGACTCTCTAAAATTTTGAGGCTCTCAAGACGTGCTGAGACCTAATGCAGTCCACGACTCACAGTCTGTTGCAGACTTTGTTGCAAGAAATACTACAACAGAGCTGTCAAATCAGAGCCAAAGTCAACTTTCTGCAGAATCCGAATATCTTCTCTATAAATGCAGTATATTTCTTGCAGATCACTTCATGAACCTGGACAGAATAATACCTCAAAGCAGAAATGACTTTCCCAATCAAATTTCAACTTTCCAACAATGCACATAAGTTGACATTTTCCAAATCAATTAAATAAAACTAATTTGACACAGTTTCCCAATAAATCAAATACAACTAATTTGACACAGTTTCCCAATCATGTTTGCTGCATAATCTAAGTTTTCTTATTGCTTTCAATCAGCCACAAAGTTTCCAAAACAGACTCTCAATTAAATCATCAATAGGAATCCGAAATCCTCATATCAAGCAAAAAGGAAACAATCCAAAATTCTCCAAAAGGAAACCTGCAGCAAAACTCAAAACAAAACATTCCCCAAATAATGTATTTGTTGTCAATCATCCCTCAATCAGATCATCATCAACAAATCTCCCCAAAATAATGCCAACACCAAAAATTAATTCAATCCAAAATTCCCAACACTTACTCTAGATAGTATTTGTATATACGTTATTTATATTATCTTCCTAATTGGATTATTGGGGAGACTTGTGCACATTGCGTCAGCTAAGCTAAAAAAACAAACTATCAAAAACTAGTTATAATGTTTTGTGAAAGAAACTAAGAAAGAAGAGACAATTGTCAAGAATTTTCTGAAAGAAACAATTCTCATTACACGTGTAAACTAACAATTAATCTATAACAGACTACAAACTAACTGATGTGAAATATAACAGACTTCTTAGCAACTATCCTTGACACTAACAATTAGAAGAAAAAAGCTCTTGTCGACTAACTAAATCATACCTGAAATCCATGTTATCACTTGTGAGCAAAATGGACACGAATATTCCTGCCGTCCAGTAACTGAGCATAAACAATGAACTGATTATACACACATTTACATTCTATATACATTATACGTATAGAATACTAAGGAGTTAAACTTGACCCCTAAAGAGAGTCATATTCATAGTGGAGTAAGGTTTACCTGACCATCCATTTCCTTGAGAGCTGTGTTGGCTGCAGTTTCAGAAGTAAACTGAACGAACCCATACCCTTTTGATCTCCCACTCTTGTGATCACAAATTACTTTAACTGAGACATGGTATATATAGGACGACTTAGTATTCCCTCTAAAGAAAACAACACGTATTTTTAAGAAAAGAAGGGTCTATAAAGTATACAGACTTGAGAAACTTAATAATCTCTAATATACCTTCAATTATATCACCATGTTGTTCAAAAACATCCTTCAAAACAGTTTCGTTGGTGTCATAAGATAGACCTACAACTCTTAAACACATATTGAGTAAGCTTTAACTGGATAAACAAAGGTAAGTAGGTAACACAACAGGAAACAAAGGACTTAATAGAAGTATAGCCAATCAGAAGACAAAGGAATATGGGTACCAATGCTTTATTGGGGAAAAACCAGAGACACACACGAACTTTGGCATTCCAAATGAACTTGCGAGCAATTGTATATAAATATTGCATGATTGTTGAAGAAAAAGAAGTTTCGAAGGAGACCTCCAACAAACAATTTAGTGGAAGAGGGGCGTGCCCACAAGATCCTGGCCAGAGGAAAGGTCCGCCAAATACAAACTCCGCTGGGTGTGCCTCTCATTTTCTCAGGGACTCCGCCAAATGAACATGGAAGACTGAACCCAACCCGAAACAACAAGAATGCCCAAAATATGTTCGCCGATCATGTAAAAACGACATCAAAATAAAAAGAGATATTTGCGCCAGAGGTCCTAAACTTCCTAATCTTTAGCGTTTGAATCCCCGTTTTAAGAATTTGAATTCCCACTCTTTATTCGGTTTGCATTTTTTTTTTTTGTCGTTAAAAATCATTAGATGCCTGTATTTTGAGGCATTTTTGCACCTTAAGTCCCAAAAAGACAAAACAGAAGGTCCCTAATGTTTTCTTTTCTTATTATTTTTTAGTTTAAATTGTTGTTTTGTCCATAAATAATGGTAATGTGTTATAGGATAAACACAAGAATTTCATAGATATTATTAAGAAAACCGATAAACGGGTTACTTTGTGGGTCACCTCAAACCCGTGATGTAGCGAGTTTGTGGGGAAAGTTATTTTCGGTGTAAATTCATATACGTCTAATTGATGTCAGTGAATGTTTGGTTGGTAGCGTTAATAATTATATTATATAATAATAAAGAAACCTTTCAAAATTGACTCTTAAAACTATAGTAAAATCAATATGATCCATTTTGTTCAGTATTATCTCTTTATTTAAATTGATATATTCTAATAAAGGGTAAATTATGATTACAAAGGTCCATAATATAATATAAACGTGACTATTGTAAAAGGTAGTTTTGCAGTTTTCCCTCATATAAACTCAGCATACCGGAGTAGAACCAAAGCTATATATGTAGTGTTGATGATATATATGTAGTGTTGATGAAAGCTTGGTTTTGATGCATTTGCCAAAATTCGTCAAGATCGAAGACTGCATTACTTGGCCATTCTGTTAACCAACCTTCTCAATGATCTTATCAAGTCCCATTATCTTCTGGTTTGGTTGAAAGAACTTTTAGAAATTAATGCATATTATTTCTTCGTATTTATTTGCATAGTCCAAGTTTAACAAATCAGCTGGTTCATGACAAGATAACGCTCTTCAAATTGTCAAATGTGTCTAATTCATCTATATATGCCCTTTTTTTTTTTTTTTGTCTTTTCTGTTCCTCTGATGCAATGCTTAAGAAACAAAATAGATAATGTTTGATTTAAAAAAGGCACGGTCAGAACTCAGAAGCGAAGCAACAACTCATCCAGTTATTGGTTTATTTTCATCAAATGCAAATGCATTCTCTTGAAAGAGTGCAATCTCAAAGCAGGGAATAGGAGAAAAAAAAACAAGAATTCTCTAGGAACAGCAGTAACCACAACACTTGCCCCGACCTGGTATACAGTGGAATCTAGTAATAAGATGCCAAAACCAATCGTGGATGAACAGAGAGAGATAAAGAGTTCTTACTTGGCAAATCTTTCAATAGGCACAATCTTGGAGCTCTACGAATACAATGCTGCAAATCACCAAACTTGAACTGAGCACTGAGCAGCACTTTCCTGGCGACATTTTATTAATTAAGTTGATAGATAATTTTTCTTTCCGGAAAGTATGGGGAAAATGGGGGACTAAATATAATGATGGGGACTATATATAATCATTTTTTGATGGGGACTATATATAACCTCTACAGTGCGCTTTTTTCTTGCGAAATTGTCGTTTATGAGCTGCAGTAAGATGTTGCCGTTTTGATGAAACATTGACGTCCTATAATGCCGTCATTTTCTAATCTTTTTTGTGGCTAATAAGGCTTTCCCTCTTTTGCTATACAGTTTTTGCTTCTCTTGCTTTGCTTTTAACAAGCAAAACTAGAAGACGAACCAGTGATTTTCAAATCGTACAGGGCAAATTCACATCAAATGCCCAAATTGAATATTTCAATTACGCATCTATTTGTATTATTCCCATCCCCCGGACTTCACATAAGCCCTCGAACAAAATTATTAAACAAAAATTAAAATAAACAGAGTTGAGAAGATAAATTCAACCGTGCCAATCCGTATTAGCTCAAATTCAGAAAGCGAGAATTACAAGAGACAAATCTGAAAGTACCAAACTTGCAACGAAACATCCATGTACTTCAGATGTAAAGCCTAGATCTGCAATCACTACTAAAATATCGACAACGAACGCATCAAATTCAAAACAAAAGCAATCATCCGCCGAAACCGTAGAGAGTCCTCCCCTGCCTCTTGAGAGCGTAAACGACGTCCATCGCGGTGACGGTCTTCCTCCTGGCGTGCTCGGTGTAGGTGACGGCGTCGCGGATCACGTTCTCCAAGAAGATTTTGAGCACTCCTCTGGTCTCCTCGTAGATCAGACCGCTGATACGCTTCACACCGCCTCTGCGAGCAAGACGGCGAATCGCCGGCTTCGTGATGCCCTGGATGTTGTCTCTGAGGACCTTCCTGTGACGCTTGGCTCCTCCCTTGCCCAAGCCCTTGCCTCCCTTTCCACGCCCAGACATTTTCTCGGAAAGTTTTGGTCAATAAGAGAGAGAGAAAGTTTTGAATATTTGGAAATGGAAACGACTGATTCGGAGTTGTGAGTGAGACGTGGAGAGATTTGGGGGGATTTTTATAGGCTCGGGGATTTGGGATTTGGAGTTCTGAAGTTTGGCGGGGCTTAATTTGGGACGTTAGATTTCGTAGATATCGACGGTTTAGAGATGCTATCCGCGTCAGTCCTTGATAATAAATCTTGACCGCTCAAAGGGTTTCATCCGACGGGTGTAAATAGAATTTTAATTGATGGCAAGGATTGTGCTTTTTTACAGAAAAGTTTTGGGTCTTTTGGCGGTATGTCCCAAAATCAAAATATATTGGATTTATTTGTATGAAATTTTTAGAAACCTCTCACTCCGACAGAGGGACAAATTCAGAATACTTTTCTAAAAGAAAATTAAATTAGGAAAAATAAATATTACCTCAATAAGCTCAATCTACCTATTTTATTTCTTTCGAAGCAGTACGTAGCAAAATTTCATACATTGAGTTAAAATTTAACAAAAATTTTATAATATAACAAAAATGACATAATAATTATCATAATAATATCATATTTTTTACTATATAATGATATAGTCATTATTTTAATGACATAAAAATGATATAAAATTTTACTATTCTTATAGTATTTTAAAATTTTTGCTAAATTTAAATTTTGATATCAAAATTTTGCTATATGTGCAAATCGCTCATTTTTTTAATAACATTAAAATAATGGGTGCTTCGTTCTAAAAAAATAATAATAAGTGTTTCTATTTATATTTTTTTTTTACTCTCTACGCTCCATTTTTAATTACACATCTCATATAATTTCAAACTATTAAATTTACCGTTTAGTTCGTTAATTTGAGTTAAGACGTTATTTTATATGAGAGTTTTTTACTGTAATAAAAAAATTAGATATGACTATTTTTAATAACTTTTTACTGTAACAAAACTTAAATTTGTGAAATCAACGAGACCTTACTTTTTACGCATCTCTATCATTCCTAATTACCCCGACTATTTTTATACAATTAAGAAGAGAATACCTCTAAAAAAGGGGTTACGATCCTCATATTTGTACCATTGTACTGAGAGTCTTTAGGAGAGCTTTTTTTGAGAGTTGATACTTCTAAACCTTGTATGAGCGCATTCCCGTATAGTAAAAAACATTCACAATAAGCGTAACTCTAAATTAGAGTGAACTGCTATACATCTTATGAGATGTTTGGTTCATGAATTAGAATCATGTGATTAAAATTATTTTCGATTTACGTGTATTTTTTGTGAGAGAAAACACTATAGCGAGCCATGAACCATAATTCAAATCATAGTTTGAATCCTTCAACCAAACATCCCTTTAGTCTCTTTCCATTTATTTTTGACGTTTCACTCGCATTTATTTTTGTATATAATTTATTTGCTCATAAAGATCATACAGATAAATATGAATGGCTGGAGGCTTAAATGTGGATTTTACTTAACGATGACCAAAGGCCCAAATCTTAATTTTCTCGTGATTTGTTGTTTATAATTAATTTCATTTTGACTCTGGACGCACGTCTACATGATACAAAAATTATATATTTGTTTAGTTCTTTTCATGTTCTATAAAAAAACTAAGAATTCATAACTTATTAAAATACGTTAACATCCATTAAAATTAAGTAAATAAGAGTATGAGATTATAAAAATAAGTATATCACAAGTTCATCACAAAAGTTTAATGGGTTATTTTCTTTTATATACCACGAATTGTGAGTTAAAAAAAAAAAAAAAAAAAAAAACCATGTCTTTTGGATGTTCACGATATTGTGCCTTCAAATTCAAATTCTAAATTCATTTTGAATTTGTACACTTTTTTAGGTCAATCTTTGATTTTAATTTTTGAATTGGAAACTTTAACCTTTACACCTAATGTACGATCTTGTAACAAAAACTCTCACACGAAGAGGTTAAGGGGGATTATGTCACGGCCCCAAACATGAGTTAGTGACGTAGAGATTTGTTTAGAAATTCAAACATGTTTAAGAGAGTGATTAACAATTAACAGTGCATAAATTAAGTTTCAAAGCTAAAATATTCAGGTATTTCCAAACAAGTCCCGCTGTTTACAAGAAATTCAGTTTCAAGAAAAAGTGGTGAATTTTCAACCAAACCAGTTTCAAAACCTCGCTCCTGGTATCATGTTAGGAATTTTCACAAGTTTAGCATACATGAATATAAACAAAAGTAAATGTTGATATCAACCATAGTCTAGCAATATTTGAGTTTACAATCCACAATTTAGTACGCGCCTTGAGATAAAGAGAAAGGAAAATGCAAATCTGCACTTTTCGAATACGGGTTCACCTCACCAGTGGCAGCTACCTACTCAGCAATACTCCTCACGTCGGCTGGAGGGGTTTAATACATTTAAAACAAGAAAAGTGAGCGGAAGGTCCAGTAGGATATAATTTTTATAAAACATTGTAAATAAAGGTACTCACTATCCGAAGACATACACCCAAACCCGATCATCCTTTTTAGAAAAAGGAAATACTCACGTAGTAGTAGTAGTAAAATATATGTATAATGAAAATATGCAAAGCCATAACACCACTGAGCAAGAAGTGGATCGTACGGGTTTCGGAACCTGCCCCCAAGGATATGATTCCCATATCCCGATCATTGAGGCCACCATGCGTTTTATCATTTCTTAAAATATTTCATTTTAAGAAATATACTTTTTAAAATCTCATTTCCAAAATCATTGGAAACTCAATAGCATTATTCATGCTATTTCATTTAAAATCATTTTTCTTTAAACATGTTTTGTTCTAAAACATTTTCATTGGCCAAAATCATTTAAAGTGAGGCTGGCAAGAATATGGACAAGAATATATTACCTCTCAGATATCAAACCTGTGGCTATCTTCACGTAGCCCTAGCTCCGCTTGTCTTTAAAGCTCCAATTCTAATCGTGCCACTAACTTCGTCATCGAAATCAACGATTTAGCGTTTAATCTTTTTCACTAAACATTCTTGTTTAATTATATACAATTGTATCATATTAGTGTGCCTTAACTTAAAAAATTAAGTTTATAAACAATTCTTAATTCAAATAATGATTCTTTGGGAATTGAGGTTCGTTCCAAAAAATTGAATGGGAACAAGGATTAATGTGGCTAATCACTCATTTTGAGTTCTCAAATGAAGTTAGGTCGGTTCTACATCAAGTTTCGGGGTCAAAACAGAGTTTTTGAACTGTTTGGGGTCAACCAGTGGGGAAAATTCCAGGGCCAAAAATGGCCGATCCACGGGAAACAAAGCCAAATCCTGCAATTTCTGGTTCGATTTCAACATATTCTCAATAAAAATTTGTAAATCCAGGTTCCAATCAACAAATGGGGTTCAAAGAATCAAAAACCCCTAAATTTTATCAAAGTTTCATCAAAATCCATTTGAAATCGATTCGAGAACAAATTTAAACCAAAAATTACCAAACTCGACTAAAACGAGTTCCACATGGATAGATATGAGAATATAAAGTGAGTTTCAAAGAGTTTTACCTTGATCTAAGCTTTGATGTTGAAAATTTCTTAGAAATCTCTGTTTCTGGTTCAAATCTGACCCAAAATCCGCTTGAAGAGAAAGGAGACTTTGAGAGAGAGGGAGAGAGAGAGAGAGAGAGAGAGAGAGAGAGAGAGAGAGAGAGAGAGAGAGAGAGAGAGAGAGAG